ACTTAAAGCAGTATAATGTGGAGAAGGATTACGAGTAGAACGCGTACCTTTACGAAGGGCAATAGGAAGGTCGGACTACGTGGAGTGAGTCATGTGGCGTCTGTTGTGGGCGAGGTCTCGCGACTATAAACCCGAAGGGGTTGTGGAGGAGGAGGGGCTAATGGTGGATGGTCCTCAACATAAGGATCAATGAGAACAGGAATGGGAACTGTAGTAGATGGAGACTCGACAGGTAGGGAAGGGTCCTTAAAGTAAAAGGAAAACTCATTGAAGGTGACATCGGCAGACACAAAATAGCGATTAAGAGAAGGAGAAAAACACTTGTATCCTTTTTGGGATCGAGTAAATCCTAAGAAAACACATTTGTGTGATCGAGGAGATAACTTATCATGACCAGGATCAAAATTGTGGACAAAACAGGTAGACCCAAAAACCTTCAGAGGTAAAGGATGGAGAGTGTCATGAGGAAATAAAATAGAATGGGGAATTTTGTTATCTAAAACCGAAGAGGGCATACGATTAATAAGATAACAGCGAGTAAGAACAAGCATCACCCCAAAAATGTTGAGGAACCTCACCATGAATTAAAAGAGTACGGGTTGTTTCAATAAGGTGTCTATTCTTGCGCTCGACCACCCCATTTTGTTGAGGGGTATAAGCACAGGAAGTTTGATGAAGAATGCCATGAGAAGCCATAAATTGTTTAAACGAGTTTGAAAGATATTCACGGCCATTATCACTTCGAAAAGTTTGAATAGAGACACCAAATTGATTTTTAATTTCATGATAAAAGTTTTGGAATATAGAAAACAACTCGAACGATTTTTCATTAAAAATAACCAAGTACAACGAGAGAAATCATCAATAAAAGTAACAAAATATTGAAAACCTAAATTAGACTTAACACGACTGGGTCCCCAAATGTCGAGTGAACTAAGGCAAAGGGGGATGAAGCACGCTGGGAAACACTACGAGAAAAGGAAGTACAACTATGTTTGCCTAACCGACGGGACTCACACACCAAATTGGACAACTGGGATAAGCTGGGAACAAGTTGCTCGTAATTTGCGCAGACCGGGGTGACCAAGCTGAGCATGAAGGAGAGAAGGAGACTCCATAACTGTGCCAACATGTGGAGAAGGTTGAAGATAATAAAGTCCATGTGACTCACATCCGGTGCCAATCACTCTTTGCGAGCTCCGGTTCTATAGGGAAACAGAAGTTTTGGTAAAAGAGATAACACAATCAAGAGATCGAGTTAGACGGCTAATGGATAATAAGTTAAAGGGGGACCCGGGTACATACAAAACATTATCAATGGACAACGAGGGAAAAAGAGTAACCGTTCCAACACCATGAGCTAAAGTTGTAGACCCATTAGCCATTGTAACAGAGGGTAAATTATGAGAAGAAGTGAAAGAGGAAAATAAGGATTTGTTACCAGTGATGTGATCGGTGGCGCCTGAGTCAAGAACCCAAGGGCCAATAGAAGAAGAGTGAGTCAGACCAGCAAAAGATGTACCTGTGTGGGCAACAGAAGTAGTGGAACTGGAGGGCTTTCGATCCTCATACCATTGAAGAAAATCATTGAAGATAGCAGATTTGTCTGAAGGTACAGACGAAGGAGGATCCACAGCAGAGGATTGTGCGGAAGAATCAGTCTGAGCAACTGCAGCAGATCGGCGAGGATAACCATGTAAAGCATAACATTTGTCAATTTTGTGGCCTAGTTTGCCACAATGGTCACACTTGACACGCCCTTTACCCGGCTTGTGAGAGCGATTACGATCATCACGGTGAGAGGCCAAGGCAGATGAATCATTAGAAACTACAGGGGAATATTGAGAGGTTTACATGGCACCCGCAAAAGGGAGGAACTGGTAGCGGTGAAACTGGGTGTAACAGGGGAACCCAAAATCTGGTCACGAACAGGGGCATATTTATCAGCAAGTTCGTGTAACATCAAAACCATGAAAAACTTTGATCGTTGCTCTAATTCTTGGGCAGGAGTCGAGGCAGGGGGTAATAACTCATTAAATTCATGGAGAAGAGCATGGATCTTACCCACATAATCCGCCACAGGATCCTTATCTCGAGGAGCAATAACATCAAGAAGATTGTAACAAACACCATAAAGACGTTGAGTGTCATTGGTGTATAATAATTTGGCTTGTTCCCAAACGTCATAACATGTGCCATACGATCGAAAAATTTGTTTTAAAGAAGATTGGATGGTATTCTTGAGAACCATACATATATGAGCATCAACTTTCTTCCAACGGACACGATCATTGGAAGGAACATCATCTACCTTGGTAGTAAGATGATCAACATACCCCTGACTCTCAAGCCAAAGTCTAATATCAGATGCCCAAGTTGCATAATTCGTACCATCTAATTTATCAATGGGTAAATTCACATTGACATAATTAGTAAAAACAGATTGCTCAGACCTACCGGAGCTGACAGAGGTAACTTCAGAATTGGAAGTGGCAGCGGAAGATGCCATGGAGGAAGAGAGAGAAAAACCCTAAAACACCAAAGAGGTTCGATTGGAGCAGCGAGGACAGATCCAGAAAGAGGAGAAGGAGGCGACGCCGGTGCAAAGATCGGCGGCCTGAACGGCGGCGAGACGCGCCGCCACGCGCAGCGGAACGGGAGAAGGTGGCGCGGCTTCGGGAGGCGCGTGAGGGAGCGTGGCTGCTCCGATGACCGCGAAACTTCCACGGTGGAGGTCGCACGGAGGAGGCGAGCAAAACCCTGTGCTCGGCGGTCCGAACTGCTACTCTGATGACGGCGGCGGCGGCGGCGGCGGACGGCGGTGGCGACGGTGGCGGCGATGGAGGCGGCGACAGCTGCAGGTTCAGTGGCAGAGCCGAAAAAAAATCCCAAGAGACCTTAAGCTCTTGATACCATGTTGAATATAGGGAAAAACTGTATAGGGTTAATTTCCCTTATGTATTTACCACACATAGGGCAGTGTATTTATAATAAAGAAAGGTACTCCTCAAAAGAGTAACAGAATACAAATAGAGTAAATAAAAAAGATATTATTTGATATTGTGATTAACAATATCTAACAATATCTCAACAATATCAAACAATATCAACTAATATCTAATCATATCTAACAGTTCCTCTTGAAATCCCTTTTCTATTTATAACTTTTTAAGTTACCATCGTTTGTCTCATTCCTATTCCTCTTTTGTTATCTCTTTGGCTGATACCACTATTCCTAATACTGTCCATGAAGCTCTTGATCACCATGGATTGTGACAAGCCATGATTGATAAAATGAAGGTTCTTGAACACAATGGCACTTGGGAGCTTGTCCCTCTTCCTCCTGGCAAAAAGGCTATGGGTTGTATGTGGGTCTATGCAATTAAAGTTGATAATAATGGTAAAGTGGATCGTCTTAAAACTCGTCTAGTAGCTAAAGACTACACTCAAATTTATGGTCTCAACTACTGTGATACCTTCTCTCCAATAGCTAAGATTTCTACTATTCGTCTTTTCCTTGCTATGGCTGCTATTCGTCATTGGCCCCTTCACCAATTGGACTTAAAAATGTCTTTCTTCATGATGACCTTGAGAAAGAGATTTATATGGAGCAACCTCCTGGCTTTGTTGCTCAAGGGGAGTCTAGTTTAGTATGCAAGCTACACCGGTCTCTTTATGGCTTGAAGCAGTCACCCCAAGCTTGGTTTGGCAAATTCAATCATGTTGTACAGTTGTTTGGCTTGGAAAGGAGTGAAACAGATTACTTAGTGTTTTATTGTCGTTCCTCTTCAGATAAGTGTGTATCTTATGGTTTATGTTGATTATATTGTGATTATAGGCAATGATTATACTAAGAAAAGCCGACTGAAGAATCATCTATTTGCTCATTTCTAAACCAAAGATCTTGGTCAATTGAAATATTTCCTTGGTATTGAAGTGGCTCAGTCAAAGGAAGATGTGATCATCTCTCAAAGGAAGTATGCTCTTGATATTTTGAAGGAGATAGGTTTAACAAATTGTAAACCCATTGATACCCCAATGGACCCTAATCAGAAATTGATGGGAGATAAAGGAGAAAAGTTGTCAGACCCAGAAAGATACAAGAAGTTGGTTGGTACACTCATTTATCTTACTATTACCCAACCTGATTTTTCTTATACAGTTGGAGTAGTTAGCCAGTTTATGAAAAATCCTTGTCCTCATCATTGAGATGCCTTGATTCGCATTCTGAGAAATGTTAAAAGGACCCCAGGACAAGGATTGTTATATGAAGATAAGGGTAATACTCAAATTCTAGGTTATTATGATGTAGATTGGGTTGGTTGTCCCATTGATAGAAGATCTACTATTGGGAATTTGATTTCTTGGAAGAGTAAAAAGCAAAGTGTTGTTGTTCAATCCAGTGCAGAAGCTGAATATAGATTTATGACACTTGCTACATGTAAAATTATGTAATAATGGGCGGATGAAGTTGTTTTGTGATAATCAGGCAGTTCTCCGTATTGTCTCCAACTCAATCTTTCATGAAAGAACAAAGCATATGAGATTGATTGTCACTTTGTTAGAGAAAAGTTAGTGTCTAAGGAACTTGTAACTGAATTTGTAAGTTCGAACGAGCAACTGGCGAACATTTTAACTAAATCCTTGAGAGGTCCTAGCATTCAGTTCATTTGTTTCAAGCTTGGTTCATATAATCTATATGCTCCAGCTTGAGAGGGAGTATTGAGACATGTTGTTTTTCTATCTTTTTGTATTCTTTGTGTATGTTCCTTAGACTAGGGTTAAAGGTTTGGGCTAAGACCCATATTCTCTCTGTTATATCTCTTTTATCTATAAATACAATGTAACAGTGACTTTAGACACTGTATTGAAACCCTAAATAAGTTTCTCAATTACCATCATACACAGACTTAGAAGCTGCCAAAAGAATGCCTAAAAATGAAGAAAAAATAAAGAAATAAAAAAATATATGCACATAAAGTCTATCTAAAAATATATGCCTAGAAATGATTTTGAATTTCAGTGAAGATGACCTGCCAAACTCGTTGTTGATCACGCATTTGTGAACTTCTCTGACACAGAATTTTCTCCACTACAGCCGTACCGGATGTTGGTGACTGATGTGGCTCAAAAATCTCTTCATCTCTACCAATACCACCGCTATCTTGTGATCTTGCAGACCACAAATCTGAAAATCTTTCCCTCCTTCTTGACTTTTGGGTTAGGTATTCTTGAAGATATCCATCAACTTGCCTTAACACAGTAGTAGGTAGGTTCACCTGTCAATTTTTGAAGCTTTACTAAAGTGTCTCTCAAAGACAAAGCAGTAAGATTTCCAGTGGCATAAAATTAGAAGTAAGAAACTTTATCTAACTGATTAATGTTTATCCTCCTCAAATGATTCAGGAAATTCGAGAGCACGTGATGCAACATGATCAACATACCTGCCTAAGGGGACGTTTATCGTCCAGATCAAATCTGTAGTTTGGAAGAGGGACTTTGCTGACAACAACAACTTTTGCATACATATGGCTGCATATACAAATGCAGTTAAGAATTATGACACCAGCATTCAGGGTCTTTTTGGGCGAGGGCTTATAGGAAAAAATAAAGAAGAAGAAAAAAAATGAAATTAACTTCAAGTTGAAAAAAAAAAAAACATATACTTTTAACGTCTGCATAAGGGAAGTCAGTTTCAATTTTTTCTTTATATTCTTCTTTTCTAGAAGTTATTCTCAACAAGCTGTCCAAACATTGTAAAACCATGAGAATGAGATTAGGAAAAGTACCTATACAACCCCATTTTGCTCGCCAAAGCCTCTATATGCTGAAAATTCTGCCTATCCTTTTTCACCCTTGAGATCAACTCTTGCGTACTCTGATCATTTAAAAGCATGCTTAATTTCTGCTTCCAGTCCTCGCTGGAAAAAGAACTCTGAAAAGCAAATTATCAATACAAACCACACGAACGTTTCAATGCAACTTTACAAGCACACATTGACCAAGCAAGGTACGGATAAAGAACAGACGAAATTTACGAAAGAATCTTTTTAGGGAGAAAGAGTAGAGAGAATAAAATGTCAAAACAAAAGGCCGAAATGTAAAAGAGCATGGTATTGGAAGTAATCTTACTGTTAGTGAAGAAGTACCAAATTCAGCATCGCAACTAACGCCTTTGTCAGCATCGGCAACATGAACGAGACTGGGAGAATTCATGGCGAGAAATGGAATGCACTGCAAGGAAAGCCCCAGTTTGGCAAAATAAACTAACGCTTAGAACAAATATAACGCAATTGCTATCTACATCTTTTTTACTAAATGCACCACCTCGTTGTTGGCAATTTGTGCCATTCTTTATTTTGAAAGATCACACACTTTTGAGTAAAAAATAAAAAAGACACTTGAGATTTGAAAAAAAAAATATCGGAAAATCAATTAAATTGGTAATTATGAGAATGTTTACAAATTATTATTTATTTTTATTTTTTAAATAATATAATATTTTCGATACAGAAATATAATATTAAAACTGTCAAAAAAAAGGTGACTATCCTAAATTAATCTGATTTGATTCTCTGATTAAATAACAAAAATTGATGAAGACTTATATTTTAAGCGAGTTAAATTTTTTTGTCTAATATTACCTTATATTATAGGCAACAATCTAAAAGACTAATCTTGGTCTAATTAAAGTTAAAAAATATTAAAATATTTATACAAAATCAATTAATTAAAAAATATTTAAATAAATTTAAAAATAAATATATATTTTTAAAATTTAAATTATATTAATAAAATTATTTTTTATTTAAAATATAATAAATTATAGTAATTTAATATATAAATTATAAGAGAATATATTCATTTAATCTCAAAATAAAAATAAAAATTTACTCTTTTTTATTATTATTATTATTTATTTTTTAATAATTTATTAATTTAAAATAATAACTAATCTTAATTATTAAATCTTATAATAAACAGTTGCTAGAAACTTACTATTTACTAATAAAAGAAATAATAAAAGAAGTGAATATATGAGATTAATTTATAACACATATAATTTTTAATAAAATAATATTATTTTTATTTAAAAATAATTATTATTCTATAAAACGGGGCATTACACAAATTTATGGATTAATATAACCTAAATCGATATAGATCACAATTTAAATAGATTAAATTAAAATAAATTGATTTAATTTAGACTACAATTTTTTTTTGTCTTAATTTAATTTATTTCTCAAATTTTTGGGTCGGTACATGGAACTAAGTATATTTTGATTCCCTGAAAATCAAATCGGGCATGCTAGCAGATTCTAATTAGTTTTTGTCATGCTAGCAGGGATCATATAATTTACTGATAAACTTAACAGCAAATGGAGGGAGGTCATCAGATACATCATTGCAGCAGACACTTCAGTTCCATCATTCATTTCTGTTAAACACTGCACAATTTTGTTATTCATATCGTTGTAGTTACTTTGTTTTCTGAATTGCAGGTCTGATTGAAATGGCAGTGCAAGCTGAAGTTGAGCATTCAAGGAAGGCCTATGATTTTTAACTAAAATAGTTCTGCATTGACAAAAAAGCAATGTAGAAAGTGAGTGATGCTTTTGTATTGTTGTAGTAACGCAGTTTATTTTATCAACCCATCTAAAATCATGGTAAGTATATGATTTTTATGGTAATTTTATAATAATCATCAAATATACCATACATATGGTTTTTTTATTAGATAAAATGTAAAACTCAGTCCATCAACTATTTACTCAATGAACACAGTTTGATAGCTTCCCTTTATGAATAATAATTCTGTATATTAGGTCTGCCTATATTGTCTTGTAACTCTAGATGTAGCTTCGCTTCACCTTGTGTTTTTTTTTTTTTTTTTTGAGTGAAACACTACATTTTTACTTTTTCCAATTACTATACTTCACTCTCTGCGGTTGATAAAGACAAATTTCTGTTGGGATCCTTGCTTAATTTGTTCTTTAGTTTTATGGCAATGTTGTGCCAAACAAACGCTTCCTCCCTTTGGGGGCGGATTGCATAAAGTATCCAGAGAACAAGACAAAGCAAGACGCCAATTGAAATTAGGCCCAATCCTACATTGATAAGCTGAAGATAATGGTTCAATGGAGGACAGTAACGTGATGTAATTTCTTTGAACGTGTCCCTCACAAAATTGCAATTCTGAAGGCTAAGTAAAATTGGAGTATAATGTTCCAATGCATAACTTTCGTTAACTACTGCTACTAACTCCGAGTAAATCTCTGGGGTCACCCTGCCAATAGTTCTGCAAACACCATATTCAGATGTCTTACATTCATACCTCTTCCAAACCTGTTAAGAAGTTCAAACAAAGAAATAGATGAATTCTCTATAAGTCACTGAAAGAAACAAACACAAACTATAGCACCAACAATAAAACAATCCAAACAGTATACAAGTATATTTAAAAGTATACCAATGAAGCTATGGCTGAGGGAACTTCTTGAGCCGTACACTGGCGTTTTCGAAACTGGGAGTCAAAGGGATAACACAAAGGAGGCATTGGAGGTCCAGATTGGTTGTAATAGTTCATACTACCTAGTGATGGACTTGCATCTGCAGTGTCATTGATGAACCGATTGACAATACTAACAATGTTGGTAACTACTTGTTTACTCTGGTAAAGTGTCTTGTTTGTGGTTCTCTGATCAACACATGGAAGGATATTGCTAAGAGCAGATTCTGCATGTGGATTCTCCACCCATTCTCCCATGGCCACGCAGGTGTCACAAATTGCACTATAATACAAATAAATTAATCATGCCCTCTGCATTGATTCTTAGTGAGTAATAAGTGGCAGAATAAATAAATTCAAGATAATTGAATTTCAAGAGGTTAAGATAGGTATAAGATTCTGTGGATGATTTGTTCTGCAAATCGCTCTAAGAAGAAAGAAATGAAAATGAAAACTAAAATAAACTTCTCCATAAGCTAAAACTAGTTATTGCATTAACTAAATTTTAGAAACTCTTACATTAGCTGCTTCAAAATCTGTTATATAGAGAACTTATTTTATCTAGTTTATCCTAACATACTCATAATTAAGCTACTTTATTCTGAATGAGCATTATATTAATCTCAAATCCAATGCCTTACTTATTAAGGATTGAGAACCCTCCACAAAGAATGAATGTGGTCGCGACCAATAACCATCCACTGATAACAAATCTGCAATGAAATATTAACATATAAACATGACTCTTGAGACAGAATCAATAAGCAAAGGTACTATCATAACTTACACTAGGATTGCATGCTGATATCCAAGGATAGACAGGACTGAAGAAAGCATATAAACAAATTATGAGCAAGAACATAGTTATAAAATTAGCTCAAAGTATTTAAGATGTTATCATCAATCAATACATACTTAACCCAATTAGAGCCAGTAGAAGCATCATTGCTGCCATTATAATCAAAGCAAGACGCCTGCAAAATGGATCAGTTTACCATATGGATGCCAATATTAAATTGTAAATACAGATAATTGAAGTGTGTGACGTTTAAGAAAGCATACACAGCATAAAATACTTTTCGTATTTTAACAGAATTTTCATTTGTGCGGTTGGAAAGTGTATCTGCGGCAGTATTTAGATCCTCATTCAAATTGTCAATATCATCCATGATATCAGATGGAAGAAACATCTCTGCCACTGTGATGGATTTGGCAAGAGACAGATACTCTGTAACATTTCTTAGAATGTGCACTGTGTAGTTTGACTGATTGACAACATAATGGAGGGTATCAATTGCCTCACCATTGAATTTTTCCTGCCCAAAAGAAAGAACTACACATCCACTCCTGTGGGATTAAGAAAGGATAAAAATGTTAACCAGGCAACATTTACCAGCAAATCTTGAACGGAATAATCAATAATAATGAGTTAAAGAAGTTTTCGATACCTCCAGAATATGCCCATTATGGATTTGATACTTCTAATAAAACAAAATTTTAGTGATTTTAATGTTAATAATTATATTAATTTGGTCCTGATAATAACTTTATTACTCGAGTTAACTAAAGTTGTTGACTTGTAATCATCCTAGTAAGATATTTGCAGGTATTTGGAATATGATACAGTCAAAATTAACATGTCAATATTGATAATTCAAAACTATCAAGTAGTTATCAAAACCAAATGAACATATTTATTAAATGTTGAGTACCATAATCCCAAAAATTTTAGAGGTACCAATTTCAATAAGGTCATTTTGACAAACCAAAAACTTATTTAACCCATAAATAATTGTAAGTTTTGGTTCCATGGATTTGAATTTGATGATTCTTATCAATGGACTTCTTTCAAGTGTCAACCAGAAAAACTTAGGCTAAATGCAGGATGATTAGCTAGACAAGAGACAATAAAACAAGATACTTGTCGGCCCTAGATTTTAACAAAGAGACATTAAATCAAAGTTCAGATAATTACGTTACAACACAGGTGAATAACAACAGCAACACAAGCCAAATTCTTTGCAAACGATTTGAACCTTTATCCTTGATGGTAATTCCCCATCCACACCATAGATGAATCACTAGTGCCAAGCCAAATGAAATAAACCATAGGACAGCAAGGGTGAAACCAGCCACACCAGTGAATCCAACTGACTGAACATACAAGAGTTTAAAACTGATTAATTTAGTTGAAGTGAACACCAGAATTTTGAGACAACATAACTGAAAAAGACAAGCCCAACTTGATATATACCATTTCAATAGTAGAAAAAGAAAGCGATACAAAGAAACCTCAAGTGGTTATAACGATTGTAATTTGCAAAGAGCTATAACAGTGTGGCATAGAAATAGAAATGTATTGAGAGTAAAGTAAATATCAGTCGTATATGCAATAACTTCAGCATCGAGATTCAACTTGAGCACACAGAATATACTACTCTCTCAACATGGTTTACTCTATATCCAAAGTCACATCACCAAGATTTGATCCTGAACCACTTGATTAAAGGACATAGGTCGCTACTACTTGTGTCAACTAATGTTTAATCATCCAGGGTTACTTCCGAATCCTTTTATTTTGCTCAATTATTACATCTATGGATTTATCCTACAATATAAAAGCAGAAAAAAGTGAAAAAGTGCTCTAATAAAACAAGTTCAACCAGAACATCGTTCAAGTCCAATTCAACCCAACTGATCAAATATCCAGAGTGATCAGTAGGAAATTCTGGGAGAGGATCATCCTCAAGGAGTAAAGTGGTCTTCTCCACAAATAGAGAGGATTTGTGCTCCTCGGGAAACATACTAGAGTGTCAAATATAATTGGAATGAGAAGATACATAATAAATTAGCATCAGTCAATGAAAACATGATGAACATAAATCATTGTAGTACTTACTGCCCAATAATGACGATTTGCGAAGTCCCAACCACCTTGGTAACGTCGAAATCTGCGTAGAATGTCAGGCCTATTTGTCCTGTTTGCTGCTAGGACAAGAGTACCCTTAGTCTCAGGACGTGGTGCTGGAACTACTTCTGTGACTTCATTCTTCCATGGACCCAAATTCTCTTCCCCTTAAATAAAAAAGGACAAGGTAAGAAGAAAACTTTATATGGACAAAACCTAGGTGCAGTTCACACGTGTTGTTGGAGTTGTTTTCCAATCAAACACGCATAATCCAAATGCATAGACTCTCTCCTTAAATAAAAAATCATTTGTTATGAAATGCAGAATCTTTGTTTCCCCACTGTGGAAGATGTCAAAATTCACGTAAACATTTAGCAATAGAATTGTCGATTTGATCAGCTTATATGATCCAATTTTCTAGGTGTTAAAAATGAAATGAAACATTAGTTGTCACGTACTCATTTTTTTTTACATTCCCACCTTTCAAAGAAAGCAAACAACTGTGACAAAATAAGATTTACAACTAACCCACCATAGTTACCAAGGTGAAACAAGTTCACCGCAATCAAAGTTACAGAGACACCAACCTAGGATAAACTTTATAGGATGTTTGGTGGAGTCAGTTGGAGATGAAGCTGAAATAAAGTGAACAGAGAGTACTAGGGGGAAGATGAAGAAGAGCAAATGAAACACAGTAGAGGGAGCAAAATTCATTGCTACAAGAAAGTTCACTGTTCAGAGCTTAAAGGATGATGACACCCCTTCATTTTGGATTCTCAGCAACTCTTAGGAGAATCTAACATAGAGGTTGAGCCAGCATGGTGATGGTGTTTGTTTAGGATTGTGTTCCATTCTAGCTAAAGAGTGGAACTTTGCATGATTTATGGAACTGAGGAGAAGGGAGCAAGTGGGGTTGTGATGAAGACTTAAAAGCGATGGATAACGAAAAATGTGGGTGTGATTTAATTAAAAGTAGTTTAATTATTTTTTTTTCTGCAGTGATTAAAACCCACTGAGTTAAGTAAAGCAATGCCGCAACTTTTGAAAATTGATTTGGTATTTGCAATTGGCTTGCATTGCAATTGTCTTTTCACCTTTAGTTATTATTTGTTTTCATCATGAGGTTCGTGTTATCTCCATTTGGTTAATAATTATATGATAAGAGAATTTCTCTTATTATCATTTTTAATAAAGATTTTCTTTAATTACATTTTTCTGTTAATATTATAATAAATAAAATTATCCTACATATTTTTCTTGTGGTAAAAGACGTCTCTTTATAAATTGTAGTATTTATTATAAATGATGATGACTATGAAAATAAAGAAAAAAGAAGAAGAAGAAAGAAGTGAATTTTGTTCTACGTATTTCATTAAAAAAATGATGTATGAATTAACTGACGAAGAAGTGTTAGTCAAAAGTCATTTTCGATATTAGAAACTAAAATCGCGGCACCATGGTGAGTGATAGATTTGGACAAAAGATATTCTGGAAAAATACTCACTACTTTCCTTGATGACAGCAAAAAAGACAGGTTCAAATGTATGAGTCTACATCACATAATGAATTAACCCCACGTTAGTGTGTATGTTGGCTTCTAACTTGGCTTACCCGTTCTTGTTGTGAGTTAGTTGAAAGATCGCAAGAGGAAATCAGCTACATTGGATAATATAACCCTAACTCTCCGTCTCATTCATATCTTGCTTTCAGAAAATTATCAGGTAACGCAAAACTGAAAAATGTAGTTGTGATGGTAAAAATATTGCAATTGATTTGGACCCACGTAGAGGAGTTACATTATTTCATAACAAGTAGAGAAGGTTAGTCTCTACCATTTTCGCTTCTTTTGGAGTTGTGAACTAGGCAGGGATTTTCCCTAAGAAGCTTTGCTTTTGTTCAGCAAGTATCTTACTATTTTCCATTCAATAATATTTGATGTAGTTGCTAATCTTCCATCGATTAAGCTGAAATTCAGACTAAAAATGGATCTATTTTTAAATGGGTGGACTTTAATTAAATTAGACAAAATTAATAAAATTAAAAAAATTGACTGAACTTTTTATCCAATAAATCTTAATAAATAAATATATTTAGAATAACTTTTTTATAAACATTTATATCTTATTTTAATTATTATTCATTTTTTATTTTTTAATATATTTTATATTTATAATTTTTATTAATTTTTATTAATTTTTTTATAAAAAATAATTATTATTAATTAATTTATTATATATTTATTATATTATAAAAATATTATTTTATTAAATTTGATTGAATTTGTTAAATCTTTAAACTTTAAATTTATGCCATTATTGGTTTGATGTCTGATTTTAAAAACATTGCTTTGCCCACAAATAGGAAAAGGAAATGTTTTCATAGGATCTCCTTTTGCAGCAAAACTATCAGAAATCATTATCAGGGTGAAATATTCATCGTATGCAACTGTATATTTATATATATTTTAATAAATTATCTTTTTTCAAACGATGTCAACGTGTATATATATAAATATATTAATAAAATATCTTTTTTCAAAGGATGTACACGTGTGTATATATATATATATATATAACAGTGAGAAAAGATTGAAAGTGATCTCCTTTATCATACATTTGGAAAGTGAACTTAATTTCTCCAGAAAAATTGATAAAACTTTTCAATACAACCCTCATTTTGCAGATTTTCTGAAGAAAATGTTAGCTGTGAAGTTCAAATTAAATTAGCTTAATAGTCTAGGGGAAACTTCAAATTACCAATTAGCATGCTGATGAATATGTAACATAACATCTGCTAATTAGGCTCCAAAAGTGTAGAAATTACATTAACAGTTCCATTAGACAAACTTTCTAAAGATAAAAACAGTTGACCCTACCCCGCTCCAAATCATTGTTAAAAGATTATTTGCACCTTTCGTCAGTGCCAAACCAATAAAGCTCTAAAAGGAATAAATAATTCTACCCCCATCATGCATCATACTGCATAGGAACATACAGTGACAACAATCTCCTCCTAACCTGGACATGAACCGAATACCATCATCACTTCTCATAGGCTAGGCTACTTGTCACAGTGGGATGGCATCAAGTCACAATCATGCATCTCATAGCATAATACATATGTCACACAGTTCAAGAAATTCTCGCATCATTGATTTGTATCTAAAAATATCATATATGTACTACAACTTACAACACGTTCAAAGGAAACAATCATACATCAACAATTTCATCGTGAATACAGAACATCACAAATTTCAATCATGAACGTCAAGGTAGTAAATATACTGCAACTTCAAACATACATAATAATTTTAAAGTAGATTACAATGTACAACGAAAAGGAGAGAAGAGCGAATACATGCTGCCAGAAGAGAACAGCTGAGGCTTCACTAACTGCATAACCTCTTAAGCTGGCAATTGCTCCCAGTAAAATAGCACTTGGTGTGGTGTAATGCAACAAAAGCACAAATTTGAGCATAGCATCATTCTCAACTAGGAAATTTAGCTTATCTGACAAAGCCACAATCCCAATTCCCAGGACAGGAAGCACCAGGAGTCTTGCCACAGTTATACCAATAGTAGTTTTAAGTCCCAGTTTAGACTCATTTGGTCCTTCAGCAAGCATTCCCCCCAATATAAGCATCACAGAAGGTACCATTGCCCCACCTAAAATCTCCAAACTGTCTGTAATGAAAGATAACGGAGCATCAGATCCAAAGAACACAGCTTTCAGCTGAGGCACTGTGCCAACAATGATAGCCAATAGAGAGGCAATTGTTGGGGGTTGAAGTATGTGCTGAATGGGGGTTTGTTCAGCAACAATTCTGATCCTCCTGACAACTCTAGGTTCAGCCAAACATCTAATGGATTTTGGACTATTCCCACCATTTTCTGTTGTCACTTCAAGGTCAGGAATATTGGACGAGGAAATACCTGAGATGTTTTTAAATACCCTAGCAATAAACGGTGTCTTAGAATGCTCAGTCACTTTCTCCTCAATGCCAGGCCATTCAGCTTCTACAAGGAGTGGTCTACTGATATCATTCAATGTTCGCTCTTCCTGGATTTCATCCCCTTCCTCAACAATTTCGTAATACTCCATAGGAGGTTCCATCATGTGATAAACAAGAGTGTACACGAGGATAACAGAAACCCATTGAGATAAAGAAACATATGCCACCCCTCTAGTGTTGCAATGCTTCCCAAATGGATTATCTTTAGTATGGCAAACAGATCCAACCACAGCAAGGAGGAGGTTTCCAGTGTTACCAAATCCTGTCATTATAATAGTAAATCTGTTTAACTCTGGAGGTGGTTTACATATGATCACCACTAAGAAACCGAGTGAGCAACCAATAGCTGTACTCACTAGCACATTAACGGGGATAAACCACGAATCCACAAAGTTTTTAAGGGTAATGCTTTCACCTAGCTCAGTAAATATAAGGCATGGCAAGAACAGGGCAAACACAAGTTTACTAAGGAGTTTAAATGTAGCTCTAGGAATGAATTGCATTCTTGGGTTTGCAAGAAGTAGCCCTATGACTGTTAGGCATAGCAGCTTCGACAATGGTACTATAGCAGCTGTCAGATCCGCACCAGCAGATCTCGTAGTATTTTCAGCAAACATGTTTTAGCTCAAAGAACAAAACTCCCTCCTGCAACACATTCGTTGAACACATGACTCACATCTTGCACTGACGCGACGCATCTAGACCTCAATTTAAGAACTTTATTATTAATTAGTTATTTTTCATGTAAAAAGATAATTGAACGTACGATTCAATGCACCATTTCCCATAAAAACTATTCAAATCATCAACTAGACAGAACAGATTCATTTCATTCCAAGTTTTTCACCCAAGAGACCAAACCAAGTAAACGATGATAATCTGGACGTAAGTATGAATTACCACAACAGAAACTGAAATCAATGATAAGTGGAATGGCAAGGATACATATGAGAAAGTGACAAGCCTGGAGCAGAATCTAAACAAGGGACTGAAGAAAAGAGGGACTTACGGACAAATTTAGGAGACCCAATTTTCACCAATATCTCGGTGTTGCCAAAGATTCAAAATTTGTAAATCGTCAACACAAAAGAGATTAACAACTAACGAATCTGTGCCAAATGATAAAATACTGGGTTAAGCAGTGAACCCTTTCCATTCAATAATTCAATCATATAATAATGATATTAGTCTCAATCTCATACTAATCATCTTAAACATTATATTTTGAATGACTTTTATTAATTTAATAACATAAATTAAAAAAAATTATAATAATTAATCAAAATTAAATTCATACATATAATGAAATCAATCTTAAATATACCCTTTTAAATACACCCTTTTAAATATACCCTTTTAAATTTATTTATTATTTATAATTTACATTGTTTTAAATGAAGTGGACAAATATTCAAAAATTAAAAAAACTTAAAGAACCATCTACACCTTGTATGAGATTAAATACTATTAATAAAAAAAATGATGTCTGTTGTGTAATTCAATTCAACGTTAATTTAACTTTATATTTACATTTAACACTTGTTTGATTGATGTTTTTAAAAATAATTTCCGATTTTTTCAGCTTTCAAAAGTTAAAAATTTTACTAACTATTTTCTAAAAACAATTTTAAAAAGTTTTTTTATTTTTTAATTTTTAAAATTTAATTTTTAGTTTTAGTTTTTATTCGTATCAATAAATATTAATATTTTTATCAATAATTATTCATGTTTATTATTAAAATTTATTAAAATCTATTAAAATCATTTTCGACTTTTATCAATTTTCCCTATCCTTCTATTTAAAATAAATATCAAACAAAAAAATAATTTATTTTACAAATTATTTTTTCAAATTAATCTTTCAAAATATTTTTAAAAACTAAATCAACCAAATCCTTAATTTTTTTATTTTTATTTTTAAATTTGAACTTTATTTCTTAATCAATTGAACGTGAAAGGTGATTATTTTGAAAGTAAGAAAACTTTTTAAATTCCCAAAAGTTGCATGACGGTTGTTAAAGCTCGCCACTGTGTATAGGGATGGATATTAATTGCATTTTTTTCAATATTATTGAGATGAAAGTTTGAGACTTTTTTACAGATATAATATTATAATAATATATATATACATAGAATCTGTATTGAGTATATTTACTCAATTGAATATGTTTACGGTTAACCGAATTAACCGAATTCTAACCTTAAATTTGTTATCTTTTTTTAAATAAAAAATTAAATAAAAATATAATTAAAAATAAAAAATTATATAAAAATAATAAAAATATTATTAATAATAAAATTTTAATTTTAAAATTTAAATAATATTTATATATAAAATAATAAAAATAATGTATTATTTAAATATATATTAAATTATTTAAATATATTTAAATAATTATTAAAAATATTAAATAATAACTTTTTTATTATATATATATATATATATATTTTTTTTTAATAGGAAATTTAAAATTTATATATTTTTTTATTATATGAATTATTTAAGTTATAATTTTAGAAAAAAATAGAATAAATAAAAATTTAATTTAGGTAATATATTAAAAAAAATTAAATATTATATTATAAAAATTTATGTAATAGTTTTTTTTTGATAAATTATAAATATTATATTAAAAAATTAATACTAAAATTAATTTTTTTTAAATAATAAAGTAAAAATATTATTTAATTAGTTAAAAATTATTATTATTAATATAAAATAAACTTAAAAATAAAAAATAATAAAAATTGACAGAATTTAATGTATATAATTAAAAATAATATAATCATTGATAATAAAAATTGAAAAATAAAATTATTGATAATAATGTTAAGAAAATTTTAATCTCCAAAGTGGTGTCCAGTTCCACAACGAGGACGACGTCTATTACGTTTTGAATTTCGTCGGTGTGGTTGTTCTTGAATTTCAGGAGAAATTTGTAACATTGATCTAAACATGAAAGACGTTAAATAAAACTTCATTAATAACATTGATCTAAACATCATAGATGAAACAAAATAATTTTTAAACAACATAAATTAACTACGTGAAGTAGAAGCACGGGTAATGTTGGGACATGTTTTCTTGGTATGATCAGGGGTATGACAATATGAACAATTTTTTACACAATCATGTTGTTCTATAATGTCCATCTCTGTTCTTATTCGGCTTGACTTAGGTCGACCCTTTGAAGTTCTTTTCAATTCTGGGTTTGGGCACAAAGTTGGGCCTGTATAAGTTGGCCAATAGTCTTCATGTTTGAGTTCTCCAAATTGTTGCTCATACATCTTAGAAACTTGCTGTAATGTATACACTGGAGCGATGTACATGTTAAAGTCATGGTGTGCGTGTTTGCATACTGCAAGTACATGCGAGCATGACATATGAACTTTTTGAAACTTCCCATAATCACACCATAACTCATCTAATCTAATTGTAAATCTCCCTGCTGGTCGAACTTCTTGCGGATGTTCAGTCTCCTCCACTACAAATCTTGTGCTTGATCTATCGAAATTGATAACTCTGTGGGTGTTTACCTTTGAGTGTGCATCTTGCAATGTTTTTGAAGCAACTTCGGAGTATATATGACCAGCTGTGATCATGGCATCTACCTTCCTACCTCTTTCTGTAAAGAATTTGTTGCAACGGGTGTATGTTGCCATCACCATGGAGCATATTGGGGGTTTCTTGTTTTCTTTAGGACTGAATTAATTGATTCTGCTAAGTTTGTTGTCATGTGTCCCCACCTTCTTCCGTTGTCCCATGCAAGTGTCCATTTATCTCTTGGAATCTCATCCAACCATTGTGCTGCTTCCAAGTTATTATCTCTTACTATGTTGTAATAGTAAAAGAATCTAGGCTCAGTCATGCCATATGTTACAAACAATTTTAAAGTGAAATTAATATAAGTAACTAATAAAATATAAAAAAAATATTAATAAGAAAATTAAGCATTAATGATATTAAAAACTTCAGAAAAATAAAGAGTTACCCATATTGACCACATCCTTCTTGAGAGCAGTTGTTTTGAAACGTCGCATAAAATTCTGTGCAATATGCCTAATGCAATACACATGCATAGAATTGTTTTCTGTCCAACCATTTCCATATTTGCAATATGCACTTCTTATGGACTCGTGACGATCTGAAATGAGACACAACCCCTCTTGTTGTGTTACGTACCTCCGTAGGTTTCTTAAAAAGAAGAACCATGCATCACTAGTTTCACCTTCTACAATAGCAAAGGCAATTGGAATTATGTTGTTGTGTCCATCTTGTGCAACTGCCACCAAAAAGATCCCTTTATACTTTCCATATAAAAATGTTCCATCAACTTGAACAATAGGTTTGCAGTGACGAAAACCATCAATATATGGCTTGAATGCCCAAAATAACCTCTTAAAGAAAACATAATTGTTGTCCACCACCTCACCTTGGTACGCAGGTTGTGTACTCATCTTCCAAATAAAGCCCGGAACATACAATTCTATTGCTTGCAATAGAGTAGGTAACTTATGATATGAATCCTCCCAGTTGCCATAAATGTTTTCGATGGCAATTTGTTTGGCCAACCATCCCTTTCGGTAGCTGATGGTATAACCCACAGTTGATTTCATGTGTCCTATGATGGTGGAGATAGGTGTTGAAGGATCAGTCTCAATAATGTCACGGATTGTTTGGGAAATCATTCGTGATCCCAACTTGTTATGATCCTGTGAAATGAGAGGTGCAAGACATGTGTGTTGCCCTTCCAACTTCATTATTTCCCAATATTGGTCTTTGGTGCGCAATATTGCTCGACATCTCCATTCACAATCGGTATGAACACATTGCACGACAAACCTAACCGGGCTTGATAGTTGAACCTTGTAAGTACAATGGTTTACTATATGAAATCGGTTCATAGCATCTTACACTTGTTCTTTTGTGGCGAAAAGTTGACCAACAAATAGTGTTCCGGGTGGATAAACTATTATTTCCCGATCTAGGATATGGACAAACTCTAAATCATCTATTTGTATATGAGTTGGGAAGTTGAGAAAATATTGTGGTGGGTTGTATGGTATGTTTGGTTGTGATGGAGGAATATTTGAAGGTGGATGCACTTGTACATCTTCTTCATCATCTGGAATTTGGCTAAGGATTTCGTCTTCATCTTCACTAAAAGGATCAAAAACTTCTGTTGGAATACCTACAATAGCATTTTCTTCTATGGGTGGTTGTTGGCTTTGTTGTGATTCTAATTCATTTTGGTTTGTCAAATGATAACTTAAAAGTTGGGTGAACGATTGAGTGTCATTTTCCCAATTGATCTGTTGTTATATGTGGGTTTATCGCGTCATGGATAGGGTAATGTGAGGGTGAAAGTTGTGGTTGTGAGGCTTGGATAAATGACGAAGTACATGCATCGAATGTAATATATAGTTCAATACCTGATTGAAGTACATTTGAATCATGTATGTTGAAGATTGCTTCGATGTCATCATCATCCTTCAACTCCACAGCTGTGTAGTTGTTAACTCCAGGCCCAAGTCGTATTGGGTACCGAAAATGTATAGTTGGCACCCTTTCATTTGCATCTTTCTCACATTTTTTGTGGATGATTTTCTTCATCGT